CAGCCTTTTGCTGTATGACTTTGACAGCATTAAAGAATATGCAGAGAATTTGTGCCTAGTTATCCATTGGTCAAGGTCTTTTACTTTACCTGTGTTTGGAAATTGTCTTTAGCAGCACTGTGGCTTTTGTTCATCCACATCTAAATAGCACATACATCTTTCCTGACTGTTTACCATGCAGATGGCAGAGAGCCACAGGTTGTCCTAAAGGAGACATGCCTTTATTTTAGTCTTTTTCTGTGGCCATGGCACAATATACAGTGGGTATCTGCTCTGGCAGGAGGATCAACTTGGTGAGCTCTGCTTGCTGGGTTGTTTCAGTACCAGAGCCATTTCCGCTGTGTCCTGTTTGGGCCATTTTTACCTTAATAGGCATCCTGAAGTTCATTAACTAAAAGAGCTAAAACTCTTTGGAACATCTTCACTCTTACAAGTGTATTGGGTCAGGCTGAGGTGGAGTCAATCTTCCTATAGCAGCTCTCTCAGTGCTGGTTGTTTTTGTTTTTCTCCTTGGAGTGGTAGCTAGAAGGGTGTTGATAGCACCCCAGTGTTTTGGCTACTGCTAAGCAGTGCTCACACAGCACCAAGGCTGTGGTTTTGGGTTTTTTTTGTTTTTTTTTTTTTCCCAACGTTCCCCCAACAGTAGACTGGGGGTGGGTAACATCTTGGGAGGGGATACAGCCGGGCCAGCTGACCCAAACAGACCAAAGGGGTATTCCATACCATATGACGTCAGCTCAGACATAAAAGGGAGAAGGAAGAGGGAAGTGGGGGGGCATTCGCTGTTTTGTGCTTGTCCTCCCGAGCAACCGCTATGCGTACTGGAGCCCTGCTTCCTACAAAAGCGGCCGGACATCGCCTGCTGATGGGAAGTAGAGAATAATCTTTGTTTTGCTTTGCTTCCGCGCGCGGTATTTGCTGTTGCTTTATTAAACTGCTTTTTTATCTTAACCCACGGGCCTCTTTTTACATCTTCCCTCTCCCCTGTCCATCTAAAAGGGGAGTGATAGAGCGGCTTTGGTGAGTGCCTGGCCTCTGGCCAGGGCCAAACCACCACAACAAGAAGTGCCAGTTTGCCCTGGCAGTCTTACCTGCCTTTCCATAAGCTGTGCTGAAGTTTTGCAGCTCCAGTGAGAATAAGTGTTTTGAGTCACCCAGAGGGAACCTGACAGGCTTGAGAGGTGGGCCCGTGCAAACCTCATGAAGTTCAGCAAGGCCAATTGCAAGGTCCTTCACCTGGATCAGGGCAGTGCCAAGCACAGACACAGGCTGGGTGGTGAGTGGCTTGAGAGCAGCCCTGCAGAGAAGGACTTGGGGACATTGGTGGGTGAAAAACTGGGCATGAGCCAACAGTGTGCTCACAGATCAGAAGGCAAATTGCATCCTGGGCTGCATCAAGAGAAGCGTGGCCAGGAGGTCAAGAGAGGTGATTCTGCCCCTCTGCTCTGCTCTGGTGAGACCCCACCTGCAGTGCTGTGTCCAATTCTCGGGCCCTCAACACAAAAAGGACGTGGACCTGTTGGAGCGAATCCAGGGGAGGACTATGAAGGTGATCAAAGGGCTGGAGCACCTCTTCTATGAGGACAGGCTGAGAGGGTTGGGGTTGTTCAGCCTGGAGAAGAGAAGACTCCAGGGAGACGTTATACTGGCCTTCCAGTGCCTGAGGGGGAAAGCTCGGGAAGGACTCTCTATCAGAGTGTGTACTGATAGGAGAAGGGGTAGTGGTTTCAAACTGAAAGAGGGTAGATTTAGATTAGGTATTAAGAAGAAACTCTTTATTGATGAGACACTGGAATGGGTTGCCCAGGGAAGTTGTGGAAGCCCCCTCCCTGGAATTGTTCAAGGTCAGGCTGGATGAGACTTTGAGCAACCTAGTCTGGTGGGAGGTGTCCCTGCCCATGGCAGGGGGCTTGGAACCAAATGACTGTTAAGGTCGCTTCCAACTGAAATCATTCTATGGTTCTGTGAATGAGTAGGGGAAATTTTTGAAACATTTTGTTGGAAAATGTATTTTGTTGATACGCCTCATCTTTAAGACAAGGACAGCCTTGCTGCATATTACAACGGGTACCCAGTGCAGTGGGCTGTTGCCTACTGCTATGTTAACCTGGAGGAAGGTCTGCTGGTGGTCCCCGTAAGACTGAGATGACTTGCAGCCAGTGGGGCAGGCTGGAGACAGTGAAGCTGTAGAAATGCAGTGTGTGATATGGACATTTGTGACAGTTTTGCAATTTTTAAACTACTCAGGCCTGTCTGGTAAAAATAAGTTACTACCACAGTCAATGTGTAATTAATAATGCTTCCACCTGCATTCAGCGAAGTCTTTCAATACTTCTTTTGTTACAAAATTAGTTTGATGTAGTCATCTACTCAGGCATGTTTGAAATTGGGGAGCGGATCAGGAGTAAGGAGTTGGGTCATATTGCAGCATGAAGCCCAAAATAATCTGCCACCTTTTGTCTGTTCATTTAAACCCCCAATGAATATTTATTTAGACATCTCACCTTTAGCAACAGACTGACTGGAGCATCACCAGAGAAACATATGGCATTTAGCAGCGGTAATCAAGATTTACTGACAGAAACTACTGCAGATAACATATTCTGATAAATCTTGTTGTATTTGCAACAACTTTCTTCAGAAGTTGTTGTTTAGGTTCTTTCTTACAGAATTTTAAAATCATGTAGTGTGGTATTGGAAATCATTATATACATAAAAGTGTTGAGTAATACAAGGATTTTGTTGTTTCTGGCTCAGGGCGCATGATTCATATTGCAGTCCATTAACAGACTGTAGAGACCCCTCCACAGGCTTAGGTTTATGACATGATTTGGGAATCCCAAACACCTGGCCTGTTTCTCAGGGATACGTGTTGAACTTTTGCAACATTGGAATCAAATACTACTCCTGCCAGTTGTACCCAGTGGGTTTATATATGAGAGGGAACATGTGCTGGGAAAGGTAGTAAGTGTACAAGAAGCAATGGAGAGCCTGACAGTTTTGTTTTTTTCTTTCTGGTTCTTGATATAAGATCAGCCCTTGGAAAGCTTTACTTGCCACAGTAAAGTACTGCCCATTTTGACACATCACATTTCCATATGATTTTAGCTGCCAAAGTCTGATGAACTACTGTAGAAAACAATGCTTTTATACTAGGTATAAACAAAGACTTCAGGATCTTGGTAGACATAGGGAAATGGTTTGTAGCTTTAACAGTTCTCAAGATGGCAGTCACTAAAATCATGTTAAAATTCTTGCAGGAGGGAGAAGCAGAATGAGAAGCGTAAGGATATTTTAACAGTATGAGATCCTGCAAGGCCTGCCAGGACTAGAAACCAAGTAATTCATAGTGTGCCACATAAAAATGGGGATTTCCATTTTTCTCTAAGTATAGAGCTTACTGTTCTTGGGCTGTATGAAATAGCATCTTAAAATTAAATAAAAGCTGTGGTGTAGCATTACAGTTTTGTCAGTGTTTTTGTTTTGTTTTTGTTTTGTTTTTCCCAAAGGAGCAAATGCCTCAGACGTTGGCAAGTGTAGTTTCAAATCCAGTGCCATTTCTTCGTTATAACTTTCCTTGCAATCTGATGGCCAAAGGCATCTTGCACAGGGCTTTGAGTGACCTCATGTAGTTAAAGATGTGCTTACCCTTACCAGGGAAATTGGTCTAGATGATCTTTAAAGTTGCCTTCCAAATCAGACCATTCTGTATGATTCTGTGGTCTTCCAAAAGTAGTTACATTACTTTAAGAATATAGACTGAGAAAAGTCTTTAGTGATATTTTCTTTCCACCTTTGCAGAAAATGAATTTCCAATTAAGACTAAGAAGGATTTTTTTTGCACAATTTTCAGTAACATGGTCTGGAATTAAGTTTCTTAAGTTTCGATTTTTGATATTTTGTTGGGTATGACACTGTATCACATCATTCTTATGCTAGTCTGCCTGAGTTCACTTCCAGTGGCAAATAAGGAAAATTACATTACAACTGAGTTTTTTAGCCTGTTTTAACACAATATAGATCAAGTCTGGTTTCCACTTTGTCAAATTTTGCTACTTTTACAAACAGAAGGTAGTATGAGGCCTTGACTACCAGCTCAAATGCTGGATTGCTGTATGCGCTTCATACTTAGAAGCAGCTTTAAGAGAACTGAACCTGCAGGCCAGATGATACAGTGTTTCTGTAGGACTTAGGTTTTCTGCCGCTCAAAGCCATGACGTAGTCAGCCCACGCAGCTTTTTATAATATTTGCAGTCATGAACTCATTATTGAAAACTAAACTCTGACATTCTGTTAATGATTTTTGGTGAAACCAGTGATTTCCTATTTCAGGTACCAAAAGCAGATCAGTTGCAATCTTTGTCCCAAACACCTTGTTTATGGGTCAAATCTTGAGTGATTGCTGTCACCCTGTAAAGGCACAATCGGTGGTATCTTATTTATATATAACTTTTAGAATTTTTATTGCTCTTTTGTTTTAAGAACAGTAATCTGCTTTATTGGTTTAAGATTAGCATTTATGTTGCTCTCAGCAAGTAGAAGGCTTTAGGAGAGTCGTTACTGTCTGCATTTGAACAGTATTCAGTTCATGTAACGTCTCAGATGTTAGGCATTTAATCTATAGGCCAGAATCATGCGTATATTCTCCCAGACCATAAATATTGTCCTATGTACTTCTACAACCACAGATCTCTACAAGTTCTAGCTTCGGTGCAAAATAGAATGTTTTGCTAAGCGAGATGCAGGAGCACTGAATCATGTGGATGATTCAGTGGTACTTTTTTAGAATCTTGCCAACTATAGGCTTCTTGGAGCAGCAAGTCTTAGGCAATTACAAAATGGGCAGATTTTTGAGTGGCCACACAAGTACTGTTCAAATTGTAATGTTAAGATTTGGTGCCTAACGTTTAACTTTGCTGTTTTTATGATGGTGTATATATGTGAGAATAAAATGGTTTGAGATTTAATGGTGTATTTTCCAAAATTTCTTTTTTTTCCAGAGCAAAGACACTCTACCCTTGATGTTCTCAGGAAACTCAAGGCTCCACCTACTTTCTTTGCTGCAACCAAACTTACTGCCATGTTGAGTGGAAGTGATGAAGTATATGCAAACTGCATGTTAGTAGACCAAGTAAGCTTATGTTTGAAGTTTTCACAATTTTTTATTGTCTTCTGTTAAATTAAATTATTTGTCCAATTGTAGGATCTTCTGGATCTGTTAGCAGTAGTGACCAGTTACTAAAGCTCTAAAATAAAAACAGTAATACCTTACTTTTCTCATCTGTATTTTGTAACCTATTTATGAAGTTGCTATTAACAGATACAGTTGATGATGGGAATTACTCTGTCTAGCCTGAAGGAAGAACTCTAAGGCAGCTCTTACTGTCTTTTCTGTGTGTGAGCTAAATGGTATTTGCTTCTTTCTAGGAAACATTAACACAATGTAACCTGTTCACATGCACTTTAGATTTTCCAAATTCTATGTACATTCAAAAAAGAGGTGAATTTGCTGGTGGTGGCTCATTTCAGAAGTTAAATATGAGCTCATAGTTAAGCTTACAGGCTTAACAAAACTGAGATACTGCTGAAAAGGTGAAGTTGATGTGCTACAACTGACAGGGGACATTGTGATGCTGGAAATCTTGACTTAGTATTCATGGTTTTGATTAATTTGTCACCAGCACTGGAGATGAGCTAGAGTGTGCAGACCAAATGATATCCTACATCACCATGTTGCAACTGAAATCTCTTCCCCATGGTCACACTCAAATATCAGAGCTTGGGCAGGGGGGAGTAGTCCAGCTTTGGTGTATTGTGGTTGTGTGTGATTAAACAGCTGCCAGATTCTGGTGGTGTGTAGCTACGTTTCAGTGAAGACTGAAATGATTTACTTATTTATTTGTAATCTTCTATGGGCTCTGCCTGGAGTGAAAGTTGGAATATGGGGTTAAGAAATTATCAGATCATAGTGTTACAGGGAGTTTGAGATTTTGCAAGTGTGATTTTTTTTTCCTCCTTTTTTTCCCTATTTTTTTTTCATTTTCTGAAAAATTCCAGCCACTGCATTCACTGCAGATCTAGTTTGTTGTGACAGCTGAGGTGCAAATTTCAGTCAGAAGCCTGGGTGTTCTACCTAACACACCTAAGGTTGCATGAAGTAATGACCTAGGAGTGAGCAACTGACAAGGAAAAATGTATGCAATCTGTGAACCCTTGGTTTTAACAATACCCATTTGGAAGGACAGAGGTGCAGAAGTGCAGTTCCACTGCAGATGTTACCCAGTTAATACTGCTGGGGAGAGTCCTTCAGCTCGGATTACTAACCTTTGCTCTATACTTAGTTGCATTCAACTTTGTTAAATTGCTGATTGGGGCCAAAGGCTCCCTTAAGCACTGCCAGAGGAGCTCCGAGGGGAGATGCTACCTGGGCGGGAATACTTTTGAAGGGAGGAACAACAGTGTAAGACCCAGGAGAAGCATTTTACCAACAGAAGAACTTGCAAGCTTGCGTTTGGCCTATCTGTGAGTGCAGATAGGGGCTGCTGTAAAAATGCCAGCAGGTCTTGCTGTCATTTACTAAGAGGAGCATTGTTGTGATGGCAATGAAGACACATCTCAAATGGGGCTGGAGAGGAGGAAGTCAGCAATCTAAAAGACTGAGGCTTTGGACACACTTTCAGTCCTTCCTTTCTTCTTGCTTTTATACAAATTCTTTTTGGGAGTTGAGTGTTTTCATTGGCCATGTGACTATTCAGTGTTATTCAGCATCTAAATAGACAACAGTAACACCTAACTAAAAGACTGACAATAAACTGTATTTTAATATCTTCTGCTAAGTTAACAGGAGAGTTCAACCTCAGCTGCACAAAGAGTTGTTACTGTCTAAATCCTGATCCCTGTACCCGAGAAAACAGAATCCCCAACTCCATTCCAGTCTTTGTGGAAGAGGAGGGGGTGCTTTATGCCCTTAACTAATTAATTGCAAAGAGATTCTTTTCCCTTAGTCCCCTGGAGAACCTCTGTTCCAGGACATGTTTATTTATTTCAAAGCCTAGGAAATGGTTGCCAGAAAATTTAAAGTGCATGATGTCTAGGCTGATTTTTCTAAATCAAACTGCACGGTGTTGGAATTCTCCTCTATATGTCTCCCACACTAATGTATTATGCATATTTTTTTGCTCGACTCGAGGATATTTTTAAATAAAACCATAACTATATAAATGGATATATTTAACAAAATGTATAACTATGAGTGAGAAATTCATTAGACTTGAAAATATAAATTAATTGCCACTCTAATTAGGAAAACAAGTAATTCAAGGTCTTGAATCTCTTAGCCATATAACTTGTCTAAAAATAGGGAAAAACGAAACAAACCAAAAGATATAAAGCAAACCATGTAACCATTAATAAAATGGCAAACTAATCTGGTCCTTGTTCCCTGACAATACATCTTGTTGCTACCTCTTAGTAGCATTCATTTTTTTTCTCTGCAGGCTGAACAGCTCCAGCTTGGAGACATCAGTTCTATCCCAATGGCTAAGAGCTCTTCATCTCCCTCCCTTGAGGAGAATGATCAATATATATACATTCCAAATGAAGGAAATCAAAGGCCAGTGAAAAATGGAGAAGACGAGGATTTAAGACATACTGTTTCACCTTCTGATCCATATGGAGCAGATTCATGTCTTCCATTCAAGACCCATGGACTTACTAAGGATCGAGGCCAACATTATGCTGACGTGAGAAAAAGAAGGTATAGAATTGACTTGGTAATATAGCCAGAATAAGGATTGTTTGTGATAACCTTTTATTTCAAAAGTTTAAGCAGAATCCATAGTAATAAGTATTATTAGATAAAATGAGATTAAATCACCGTTTTCTGTCACTGGTATCTAAATCATCCTAGTGATAAGTTTTCATAAAATAGTTATGAAGATATTTTTAACAAATAAAAGATTCCCTCTTAAGTAAATCAATTTTTAATGCAAATTTATACTTTTATACTCTTTTATACCCTTTTTTTTCAGCAAGACAGAATCAGCTATTCACTGTAAGAGTTGCCATTGTGGCATTGTTTTCAAAAAATGAAATTTCACCCTAGTTTTCCTTGGCTGTGTTTTCCATTAAGAAAATAGTGCAAAACCAACTGAATTCTCTGGGTATCTTTCCATTCTTTGCACTGGTCAGGAAACCTGTTTCTGAATACATATTGTTTTACACAGGACAGAGTCTATGAGGTTCAGGCTCTTTTCTACTAGTTTGCTGGTATACAAGGTTTGCTACCAGCAAAGCCAAGTGTCTGAGGATCCTCCTCTAGATGGCTTTAGGTTTTACTGTGAACTGATTGGCTTTAGGAATGCGGAGAGCTTTGAAGATGAAACTGTTTTTATTTTTTAACAATTAGTAAAAAAGGTTTTATTGCTTCTCTGGATAGAGGAGATAAGAAATCAGTTCCTTCTTTTACACGAGGAAATTTAAACCTCTCTTGTACCTTTCAGGTGTTCAGACTAGTGGGGGGTAGGGCATCAGATCTATGTAAAAACAGTAAGGAAGGATTAGTGTCTGTCTGTTGTTGATTGGAATGGACAATAACATATTCTTTACCTTAATTTTGAGTTTCTTATCAACTATAAAGTCCCACTAAGGGGGAATCTTTCAGCACACATAAGACAACAAATTTCAAACTAAGTGTTGGTTTTGCCTAAACCTTTCATTTTTGTTAGCTGCAGGGATATGATGTAGATTGCCAGAAATAATCTTCTTCTGCCTCTCTGTCATAAACATTTTTCTCCTATACATTTCAGGTATTCCTACTTTTTTAGGACCTATATGTGAGCTTTAAGATCTTGTATGAATTTTCAGAGAATGTAATTGACCTTAGTATGTCAACTGTAAATGATCCAAATATTACACAAAAGATAATTGGTATGTAATTCAAGCAGCACTTTCCTATAAGTTTCTGAGGTGATGTGGCAAGATACTTAGCAGATCTTTAAATCAGCTTTTTATGTCAGAAATATTCCCTGGGTATGTTACCCCAGTAAGACATGTATGCTTGTCTGTTGACACAGACACGTGTTCTGATTTTAAGTTATGGCAGTAACTGATAATACAGTTAAAGAACTTATTTCTGAGACATCACATGGTCAGTTACTATGAAACATTGCAAGAGACCGTCTCCATAAATGTAATAAGGAAGTAGTTTGGGACAGTATCAGTCGATTTGCCCTTGGACAAAATGAATTCTCATGGTATGTGAAAGAATTGTTGTGCTATTATTCCTGCTAGGAACTCTGGCTATTTAGAAATACCACACATAATTTAAAGTTTTATGTTGTAAGGCTGGAATGTTATTGCAAGCAGTCAACCATTTCTTCCAGTTATTCTGAGAGACCATGAGCTTGCTCTTGCAGCTAATGGGACCTATCCTGGGAAACCCTGGTACTGTTGAGAAACCTTACTGCATTCTCCTACTCAGGAACCCTCGCAAGTCAGTCTAGGTGTTGGAAGCATTTATTTAGCCAGAGATTTTTCAGTCTGCTTATAGTCCTCCATGTTTTAAAGTTTGTATCTTTCAAAACGTATCTCTTACACCATCTCAGAGTCTCCTTCATCTCTCTTTTTAGTTTTCTCTTCTATCCTCCATCAAGTCAGAGATGTAGGAAAAAAGATATCTGTGAATAGCCACATCATATCTTCCAAATACACACAGAATATTCATAATACTCACATATCTTAATGAAATCTGAGCTAGTTGTCTCAGTTCTCCTTATCATCTCTATAGAGAGGCAGGTGCATGTGTAGAACAAACCTGTGACCTACTGTAGGTGATCCGGCTCTGGCAGGGGGGTTGGACTAGATGATCTTTTGAGGTCCCTTCCAACCTCTCACATTCTGTGATTCTGTGAAACTACCTCATTTTAAGGGAGGTGCAAAACAATGATCTGAAAACTATCCTCTGAAGGTGGCTGACTGTGGTGGGAGTGTGTGTGTGATTGTGGGCAATGCCAACATCTGTACTGCAGATCCACAGGGTTGAGTCAGGTGAGTCCTGTACAGAGTGACTGAGTGCTTTGACCTGGTGCCTGTAAACCTGAGAGGGGACTCAGAACGTGACTGACATTATCATGGTGGTTTGGGTTCTCGTTGGTCAGAGCATACAATATTTTTGCTTGTTGCATTAAGAATGAGATGGATTGTTACTAGGATATGCAGAAATTGAGTACTTTGTTGTCTTCTTCAGTTCAAGTCTTGATGACCTTGAAGTAGATGGTGGAAGTGGAGGTGTTTTGGACAGATCTCACATTCACTACCCTCACCTGAGCTCTTCAGAGACCATGGCTGGTAGCAGTGATGGATTAGATTTACCTACCGATCTGCAGCCCAAGGTATTTGATACTGTCTTGGTTTGCATTGTTCTCCTTTTAAGTAAATCCCTGAACGCATATGAGAAACATCTGAATCTCAAGGGGAAAAATAAGTTCCTGGTTAGCAGTGCTAGTCCCTCCGGAGAGCAGCATGCACAAGTTTGGGCTGCGAAGCTGGAGGTTCTTGGTTGTAGCAGGGGTTGGCAGCAGCCATGGGAAGGGTCCATCAGGGATGTGCTCTAGTTTTGTAAAAAGCGTCATTTATCAGAAATGTTTCAAAGGAAATACCTCAGGTTCAGTGAATCATCATTTTCTAACCAAAATATTTTAGTGAGGAAATGTTTAACCAGCTCTAATCATGTTAAAGGGTAACAGCTTTGTAAAGTACAAAATCAGCCTGCTGTTTTTAAACGGTTTTAAAACAATTGTTAGATTTAGGGAAGTTCAGCTGGGTTGTGTGCATTGACCAGTGCAAATCTCTCCCCTTCATTATGGTTTTCTAAAGTATCCAGGCTCCATTAATTTTCATTAGACCATGGTCCCATTTCTGAGATCTTCAGACACATACATAGTGTTATTTTTTTGTTTGTAGGGATTATGTGTCTTTTTACTAAACAGACTTCTTGCTACTGTAGAGCTTTATCTGATCTTCAGCAAATGTTTACATGAAGCGGGAAACTGAGTCAAGCACAAATGCTTAATTTTGGGGGCTACTTTAAAAAAAAATTAAGTTTAGGAGTAGGCTCTGTTGAAATGTAAATGATGTATTAGAAATCAAGGGAGTTCCCTTCAAGCCTTATCGCTGACGTATTTGGGAATTGGAAGGTCTTTTCATGTACAGTTAAAAAAAAAAAAGTGGAGAAAAAAGAGAAAGAGTCTTAGCTTCTTTCTTTGGGAACTCTGACATGAATATTTACCAAGACAGGACATTAGTCTCCATGAAATGTTCTTGAGGTATTAAAGTACCAAGATTAATGGCTCCCATGGTAAAAGAAGATAGCTTGATCATCAGATACAATGGCCAGCAACACTGTTTGGATGGTGCTTGCCGCTAAACTGGAGAAGAATATAAGCTTTCTCTGAATCTTTTAGTATAACTTGCTCCCGCAGATTATTGCCTGTGATAAACAGAACTTCATCATGCTGCATGTATTACAGACTTCCTACGAATTCAGATGCAGTCCTGAAAAATTTGAGTTCAACTTAAAGCTTCAGTGAAGCGAAGAAGATGGATTCGTGTGGTCAGCCATCTTTCTTTCAGAAATTCTGTCACTGATTGATTTTGTTTCTATTGCTGATATATTTAGAAATGACACAAGTTTTACTTTGCTGCAATTTCTTGTAGGAATGCACAGTGTTTGGGATTCGATCACGCTCCTATTCCTGCTCCTCACCCAAAGGTTTATTAGGAAGACCTCGCATTCCTCGGGACTTCTCAGTTGGGGATTCAAATGACGGTTAGTGCTCTAGCTCTGCATGTACAGAGCCTCATCTCACGCCTACCTGCTTCAGGCCCAGTGCTGGCAGCTTTACTCAGGCCTGTCCTGTACACAGACCTCCCCAATGTGCGTGAAAACAAGACTCGGTTGCCTTTGGGTACTCCTACCATCACCCCTCACCTTCCTCCCCTCTGCTACCCTGTCATGCCATGCCCTGATAGAGCAGCAGTTCCTCAAGAGGGCACACAAACTGGAGAGCAGTACTCAGAAAAAGTAACACAGGCAACGGCAGTAATGTTCTTTTTGGAAGATCCTTACCCTGCCCTCCCACTGGGTGTCCTGTAGAGGCTGTGAGGAGTCTCAGGATGATCATAGAATCATAGAATTGTCAGGGTTGGAAGGGACCTTAAAGATCATCTAGTTCCAACCCCCCCGCCATGGGCAGGGACGTTCCCCACTGGATCAGGCTGCTTAGAGCCCCATCCAGCCTGGTCTTAAAACCTTCCAGGGATGGGGCTTCCACCACCTCTCTGGGCAACCTCTGCCGGTGTCTCACCACCCTCATGGTGAAGAACTTCCTCCTTCCACTGATCCATCTCTAGCTTCAATCCATTCTCTCTAGTCCTATCACTGCCAGACATCCTAAAAATCCCCTCACCGGCTTTCTTGTAGCCCCTTTGAGATACTGGAAGACCACAATAAGGTCTCCTTGGAGCCTTCTGTTCTGCAGACTGAACAACCCCAACTCTCAGTCTGTCTTCATAGAAGTGCTCCAGCCCTCTGATCATCCTCGTGGCCCTTCTCTGGACACGCTCCAGCACGTCCATATCTTTATTGTACTGTGGGCTCCAGAACTGGACGCGGTACTCCAGCTGGGTTCTCACAAGAGTGGAGTAGAGGGGAACAATCGCCTCCCTCGACCTTCTGGCCACCACCTCTTGATGCAGCCCAGGATACGATCACACAAAAGAGGCATGAAAAAGGGCAGATGGCTCCAGCTTTTCCTATAGATCCTAGAGAATCTCCGAAACGTGGATATGCTATTGTTATCTCCACAAGTTGGGGAGCAAAACCCATCCACCAAGTGGAGTCAGAGATATGCAAGAAGCTTGTAATTTTTTACAAATTGTTTCTAACATACTTTACTTTTAGACACATAGTTCCATGTTTAGAAGACAACCCACAGTTTTTGCAATGAAGATACGGGTTATATTTGAAAACCATGCAAAGCATGAAATACATATGCTGTACTTTTCATGTACATCACATCGCTTAAAAACCACTCGCATTTCAAGAGGCTTGGCTTCTGTCCCTATAACTATGTCTGTTGCCATACTTCCAGCTTGTCTTTCCCTCCAGTAAACCTTTAGCTTTCCATTAGTCCTGAGTGAGGGGCAGGATGCGTGTGTTAGAGTGAACCAGATGGGATCGACACTCAGAGAAGTTGAGGATGCCCTATCACTGCAAGTGTTCAAGGCCAGGTTGAGTGGGGCTTTGAGCAATGTGCCCTACTGGAATGTGTTCCTGGCCACGGCAGGGAGGCTGGACTAGGTGGTCTTTGAAGGTCCTTTCCAACTCGAACCATTCTGTGGTCCTATGACACTGAATGTGAAAACACACAAAAGTAGAAATGTTATCGTTACATTTGAAACCAGTTAACAAAAGCTCTGTGATGTCTGCTTGAAGTTAAAACACAATTCTTTTTTCCTTGCTGCTGAGGGACTGTTGGTATCACAGCCTGTTAAGCTTCACCAGACACTATTACCTGTTCTGACCTGATCCAGGCTCAGGCCGTGCTCCGTTCATTCTCTCTCCCCTTTCTCCTGGAACAGTAGTGATGGACCTTTACCTGTCTTGTGGAAGAGATGGAAGCCTTATCCTGTCTGTACTTTGGAAAGAGGCCCTTCTGCATCCCGCAGATGCAGATACAGTGTGCTGCTTGGAAGGAGGGTAGTGGTCTGCTGAGGTTCCTGCTGGTACTTCCCTACCACTAGCAGCTCCTACCTTGTCCTTTCCTTGCCAGCATTTTGCAAGGATGGGAGCATTGAACACAGTGTTAGATGGCTGGCAGAGCTGATTAGTGTGTGAGGCAGCCACAGCTGTGCTCGCTTTGAGCAGTTGCCTCTGGGTATGGGACTAGCCCCAGACCTTAGTCCAAGACGCTAGGTCAGATATTTCATCCTGATCTCTGTGGCTTGTAGTGCGTCTATGTCTGGGTCTGTGCCAGTGTCTATGGAGTGAAAACCTGCCTCTTCTCCTCTGCCCAGCTGCCAGCACTTTGGATATTTTGCTCAGGGCTTAACTATGCAGGAGGGAGGCACAGATGACCTTGCATCTTGCACACAAGTCAAAGTAGGTGAATGCAGAATGGCAACAGGATGGTCTTTCTCGCACAGAGAGAAAAGTGGGAATTCACCATCCACTTCCAATGGAAGCTTTTCAGTATGCTTAGTTTTAAAACAACTACCTGCTTTTATTCAAGAAGGTATTACTAGGCTGTAACAGTGAAGGATTTGTCCCTGCTCTGTAGATGGAGTGCTCATGAACAGTGGTCGATCCCTACTTCAGGCTCTTTCACTCTCTAAGTCAGTGTCTCTGCTCCACCCTTGTAGTAAGTACCTCACTGCCAACAACATGGTCCTGTTTGCATGAGGCTGTCTTCATCTCCCATGGGTATACGGCCTTTATTTCTTCCAAAAACGTCCTGCAGCACAAGTTGTGCCTGGCAACTAACTGAAATGCCTGTTTAGTCTGGTTGCTTCTTTGGTAGATACGCTAGCTTTCACTAACTTAAAGTCTACATTTGTCTAAAGATCTACTGATTCAGCAAAGCGTGTTTACATATGCATCTAACTTTGAAGAAGGCATAGTTTGACACTTTGACTTAGCCAGGCTGTACCTGTTGTACATTTTGCCTGCAAAATTGAACGGCTTCTTATTTGGAAATAGTAGAATGGTCTTTATCGGTTTGGGTTTGGGTTTGTTTTTTTTGTTCTTCCAAAACAACCCAGCTGAATTAGTTATCTTTTATTTCATTTTTTAGACAGTTTGTTGAAAAGTATCTCCTTGGGTCCTCTACATCCTGTGCAGTACATAGAATAGTAATGCTCTGCCTTATGTAGAGGGATTTTATTTTTTTAATACTACAAATAAAGCTGTGTAAGACAGGTAATTGCAAATGTTAGAAGAGTGTCATTAAGATATTTTATAACAAATTATATAAAATGCAAAATGAAGCACAAATCATTCAAGAATGGGTTGTCTAAGAAAAACAAAATGTGCTTTATTATTTTTAAAACTAGACTTGTTTGCAGAGACTGGTGTTCACTAATAGCCATCTCATTTCTGGCAGATTCTATCAACCAAACAAAGCTTAACAGACAGTTGTCTTACCCTTGGAAAAGCTGCTTCTGATGTCTATATGTTTTTGCTTTCCTAATTTTCAAATGGCATTGCAAGCTCTTAGTGACAAGCTTATGGCCTGGCGGAGGTCGTGCATTTCAAATAAACCTGAAGGCCTTGCCATCTGAGTGCCCGATAACTGTTTATGTCTTGCAGAGCGGGCATACAGTCTGCCGGAGCAGTCCCGAGAGAAAAGGTATGGATGGGGTGCTCCTCGTGCCCGTGTTTCGAAGTGACGGGAGCAGATCTGTGCAAGAATGCCATCTAGGAAACAGGGCTGGGAAGAGTCCTTGTCACCCCTTGCAGCGGAGTTTCTAGCAGCATTGTAGGGGATTGCTCCCTGCAGACCAGACTTAAGCTGGGTGCTGAGCTCAGCTCTCAGGCTCTCTTTGTGCCATCTTCACCACATGCTTCCTGCAGCGGGAATTTGGTGTATAGGAATGTCCAAAAATTAAGAAAAGCACCATAATTAAAGCAAGGGGGGTTTGGGTAGCAGCTGTGATCTAGGCCTTTAATAACATCAGCTAAACCCGCAATAAAACATGTAATTGTAAATGTTAGGTGAAATGAACACTATTTAGATTCTGCTCTGTTCTAAGAGACTGCTTGCACTGGAATGAGGGTTTTTTCCCCTGGTGTCTGTTTTAGGATTCAGGAGGAGGAATGGAGTAAATCTATTACACCCTCAAAAAATGAGTCTGAAAAATGTAAAGTGAGTCGGACTTTCAGCTTTCTGATGAACAGAATGACCAGCACACGGAATAAGTGCAAGGTAATTTGGAATTTTTGTGTATGTTACTATGTATAATTATGTTACTGCAATTAAATGAATTATAGAGGAGAACTTAAATTTTAAGTAAAGATAAGTTTTTGTTTGTTATAAAATAGGAAGAAGCTATTGCCTTTATTTTTCAATTTTAAAATGTATGTAGGGTACTCTGAAATGGCCTTCATAGGAAAATCTAGTTTTCCTTTTAAACAGTAGCCTTACCTGAATAATATGAAGTATTTCCCTTGCCATTTTTTGGATGTTATTAGTAATCCAATTCCATGATTTAGCCAAAGTTTCTGTGCTAAATAAAATTTAGAGATCTGTTCTTGCAATTACTCTCAATAAGTAACTGAGTCTGTAACTTCTCATCGGCATGCAGTCGGTTGAATTTGCCTTATTTGAAATTAATGGGACCTGCTGCATGAGTAAACACTGCTTAATAAAGAGTTGCAGATTTGAGGCCTGCACACTGAAACGTACATACTGTGGAAGATAGATTAGAACATCTGTGGTTTGAGACATCTGAAATTTGGATTAACGGCACCAGTTATCAGCGTGAGAGATGGTTGTTGCCTACAGGATCTTTCCAGCTGGCCTTTCATCCATTTTGCAGGCTTTCTACTATGCCTTCCTGTGCCCCAGGGTGTCCTAATATACATGGTTGTGAGGGCGGTTGGCTGAGGTGGTATCTTCAAGGGTGCCAGAACTGGCTGTGAACATGTATGGCTGGCCCAGGAGCGATACATCAGCCTGTATTGGTGTGGTCCCTTAAAGAATAAATACCAGGCCTACTTAGAGAAATGTATACTCACATCAGCAGAAGTACTGTAAAAATAGGCAGAATTTATTAAATTCGTTAAGACTCATTAAAAATAGGTTATTTCTAATGTCTGATTGAAAGAGAAGTTGTCATAAATTTACATAATTGCAGCTTTAATTGCCAAGGCATGACTTTGCATGTATGCCTCAGGAAGATGTGGGGTGTTTGTGTGCATAGCGAGTCAGTGGCACTTCTTAAATTTTCTTTTCTGGCCCTTCCCTTTTTGCAGCCTTATAAATGTGTTTCTGCCAGTCTTCCCTGATAGTGCTTGCTGCCTTAGTTGCCAGTGAAAGCAATACCTGCATAATTTTAGGACTTCAGTGATGTGGATGTAATAATATATTATACTGTTACAGGTCTTCCAGGGCAGAGAATAAATGTTTTAGAATAGTTTGATCTTAAAATGGAATATTTTGCTGTTCTTAAGACTGAACTGCTTTATCTTCTTTTCTAATGTCTTTTTTTTTTAATCTTTCTTTTCTTGCCTCTGCTGTTGTGGATGAAGACAAAAGGTAAAGAGACCAAAGATAAAGAGAAACTGAACAGGCATAATTTTACAAATGGGACCTTCTCAGGAGTTATCCCATGTATGGCCTGTGAAAAAGCCCTCCTAGGAAAGGAGTCGCTACAGTGCTCTCGTAAGTACTTGCTGGCTTTCACATGTGAACTTACAATGCTCCAAATTCTGCTTTGAGATCCTGGTTCAGTATATTGTTTCAAAAAGAAACCTTGCCTAGGTGTGGATTTACCTCCTTTATGTAATGAGCTGAGGTTGGCAAGGCAGAGGGAGGAAGGACGGCAGGTGACACCTTCAGAAGGGACCACGGCCATCCCTTAGCTCCAGCACATTAAGCAAAAACTTCCTTCTAGCTAGGGGCTATAACATCAAAACATCCCCAGGACTACTTCTGTGAGTGCACCTGGAGGAGGGTAAAAGAGGAATCCTCAGAGTACCGTTTTCTTCAGCACCAGGCTTTGAAACGTACCTTCTCTTTCAGATTGCAGTGTGACTGTGCATAAGAGCTGCAAGGAGTGTGCTCCTGTGTGCACCAAGGTAACCTCCTATACCACACCGTTCTTACTTAGAGCATGTCTGCTTTCCAAGGGGTCTGGAAACATCATAAAAGAGAAAAGAAAGCGTAGGCAGCCTGCCTAGACCCAGTGTCTAAATGCAAAGGGCTCCAAATGCAAAGGGATGTCAAAATGTCTAATAAAAAGCAACAGGGCAAGCACTGCGCCTGAACAATAGTTTTTAGAAGAGGGTCAAAAATTCGTTTAGAGAGATATTTCTATTTCTGAAGAGTTGGAAGCTCAAATTGTGAAATGGTGTGCCCTTGGATGGTGCAAAAAGAAAGGCTTTTCAAACCCACAGATAGCCCTTGTGTAGAAGGGGCATCCCGTATGTTTGGAATAATAGAAAGCAGAGATGGCAGGACTTGACTTTGGGAGGTGATTCAGTCCATCTCCCTACCCTCGGGCAAGCTCACTTCTAGGTAACGATTTGAGCAGAGGTTTGTTTGACTTGTTCTTGAAAATGTCTGGAGGAAGAGACTCTACAGCCTGCCTAGGCACTCGCTCCCAGTGTTCAGCTGCCACTGCAGACAGGGCAAAATCAGCACTGGAGCTGATGGGTACTGCCTTCTTTTAAGTGGGAATACATGCATGATGAGGTTATCATGAAGATATTTTCATAATTTTCAAAATTTTCCCAGTTGTCAAATAATTTTCAAAAACAGAGGTGTAAAATGTTCTGCCCTCGTGGAATAAAATGGGAGTTGCAGAGAAGTGTGTCACAGTGATAGGATCATTTTTCAAATTAGTCGAGTGTGTTCTTCTGGTGTAGCTATGTTTCGCATCGTGGTGGCTTGCAGGAAGAACTTTTATCCATACACACTCTTCAGCATAAACAAGCCTTCAACTGAACATAAATCAGGGGGTTTTATTTATTTTGATTATAACTGTCACATCATTACCCTGCACACATTTCTGAGCAAATTTTGGGCATTAGGACAGCTGACCTGCCAGTTTTAATTACTGGGGCTGGTGGGTTATTTGTCAAGACGAGACAAGAGCCCCTGCCACGCCCAACTAATCAACGTGCAGAACGAGGTGCAGAAAATGTTCACTGATTCACCTCAAGTGAAATACATGCCTAAATATAACAGGATTTTGCTAAAGTTTTGCAAAAGTGTGCTTTGGAAGGGGGGTCAATTCTGCCTCTGGTACCCAGGCTTCCTCAGGTAGTGCCCTGCCACAAATGCTCTGAGCATATCTGAATATAAAGCTCTAAGTGTGAACTCCTATTCTTGCAGCCTTCACAGGCAACATTCAGATACAGAAAGTAGAATGCTGTGAATCAGAGGCTTGGTTTAGATTAAACAGATTCAGTTTTATACTCTAGTACAAATAATACCATTCTACTTTGAATATTGTTATCTACCAGTAACTAATAAACTTGTACTTACTAATTACTGATAGAAATTAGGTCCATTAATTTAGGACCACTTTCTTGAAGCCCTTTTGTGTGTTGATATATGGAAGTGAGTTACTGACTTTGTTCAGTGTGTAATCAGCTGTCATTTCACTGCAATTTCATAAAATTCTTGGTTTTTTTCAGAAATCCCAGGAGAGGTGCCATAATAAAAACAAAACCCAAGCTTGTGTAACAAGTAAGTTAGGAGGCATAAACCTAGCATTTCTAAGTTAAGCCTTGATTAAAAATCATGGGACTGACAATGTAAATTTTCCTGTGTAATTTTCTGCGTCTCTTCTTTTCATTTCAGTATCTGTGAGAAAGCGTGTGTGTCTTTAATATGAATAGGATTTAAAAAGAAATTACTGTTGAATTGACTCATACTAAAATGAGTGGGATTTTTACCACATTTTGTTTACGTTGAGAACGAAAATCAAAAGTATTCAGTTCTGCCTTGTGCTTTTGAGTATGTAATTTACCGTATGCACAAACATTTGGGTCTCGTATGTTCAGGTTGCAACACTACAGCATGTATGATTTGAGGTTGTTTTCATCTTAATAATGTCCACAGTGGAGCCATTTTGCTTTGTCTGTGTGCTTATCTTTATATTTTGCAGGAGAGCATCACAGTGCTGTACCACAGCGGGCGCATGCTCTTCATACCCAGTATAGGCCAATGTGGGCACCTGAAAGCATTTCTCACTATGAGTGTGCTCTTGATGGCATACTCTGCATCATTTGTCAAAATTTTGTGTCGTGCTTTGCCTCACAGATTCCCTGCCTGGAGACATTTCCCAGATGGTGCTCCCTTCAGTGCATCCTTCCTCCTCTGTGCCTGTTGGACTGTCTGCTGGAAGGAGGGAAGCCCTGCAACAGTCCCACTTCTTATCCAAAAGCGTCCCCAGTGCCAGTTTTGAAAGGTAGGGAAGCTGCCAGGGGACTATGCAAAATAGATCGTTCATCGTTTCTAGGAAAATTGAAAACATTAAATAAATATAGAGGGAGGCTGCCAGGGGGCTACACTAAATACATAGTTCAGCCTTTCTAGGAAAATTGAAACCATTAAATAAATGTGGGATTTTTTTTTTCTGCTGTAGAAGATCTGTGCTGTTTTCTGAACAAGACTCTGAGACTAGCACCTGGAGGTCCAAGTCCCAGTCTGAAGAGATGTTGCAAGCATTAGGGACCTTTTCTTCAATGGATCCTTTTATGATGGAAGGTGAGAAGTATTGCACAGATGTTGCATTTCATAATCTATACTGGAAAATGCAAAACAGAAAAACTGCTTAGATGATATAGAAGACACGTCAGCTGCTAAATGAAGAGCACCTATTTTTGATAACTGTGTCTCTCATTAAAATTACACAGTCAGTTACACTAGTCTTAAAATAAAACTTTTCTTCATTGTAACTATCTCTTTGATAACTTTTAGAATATTTTTATACAATATTTCTATTTTAAAATAACAGGGATAAATGCATTTGGCATCCTTGCAGAAACAAAACAGCAGTATACTTTTGTTCTGCACTCATCTAATCATCTCTGTTGACAGTGTACATTGCAAAATGTAAACCTACATAACTTGTATTCCTCAGTAGCCCCAAAATCTTACCTCCCATGGTGAACTGTCCTCGTGAAATGGCTGCCTGTCCTTGCGAAGTGAATAAAAAGAGGTGTCTTCTGTAGCCAAGTGTGAGACAGATTTTCAAAGCTGAAGGACATCCAGTCACAAAGGATGATGCAGATACACATTTCTGCACATCTACTTTTGAAAAATTTGGATGTTATTTTTAAGTTTTACAAAATTTCTTCAAGCACGGACGTATAAAAAATATTTAAGCTGAGAAAAGAATAATTTTTCTTTTATTCTCTTCCCACACTCTCATGTTTACATTTTGACACATTGCTAATGATAATGCCATCTGGCAAGCTTCTCTGCTGTAAAGCTACTGCCAGTGTTTGTGGAAGCTTTGTCTTAAAGTTCATCCCTGTGATGTGTTCCCCTTCTTATATGAATGGATCTGCATGTGCAAAGGGACTTCCCTTGCTCTTCATATGCCTGGTGATAATGAGATGTTCATTTTGTCATAGATGATGTGGATTTGTCTCAGTGGACTGATCTCTACACAGATGCACAAGAGTTTGAGGCAGAGTCCTGGAGTCTTGTTGTGGATCCAACGTTCTGTAGTAAGCAAGAAAAGGATGTCATCAAGAGGCAGGATGTAATTTTCGGTCAGTATTTCAAACCTTCGTGTAGGTTTAAAGCCAATTTGGTGTGGAAAATAGAGAGTGAACCTACAATTTTTATGTCCAGAAGAATGAATGCTTCAACTCAGAATAATAAGGTTCAAAGAATATTTTTGTCACAAATAACACTGTGTCCTGGAGCTAAGGAAATGGGTAATAGTTGACTACCAGAGACATGTCTATCCTGTTCACAAAATGGTTGAGGTTAGAAGGGACTTCATCCTGTCCCCAGCTCAAGCAGTTGCAATACCAGCTTGTCCAATGGGATGCAGTTGAGAGGACTTTAGCAGAGCCGGATAAATTAAGTCTTCCTATGGACATAATCTATTAGGTTTGAGGCTCACTCAGGAAAAGTGATTATGACTGTTAAGTGTATCTTAGAAGGTGTGCAAAATGTGCTATACAATGATATTTTCTTTTATACTGCAGAGCTGATGCAAACAGAAGTGCATCACATCCATACGCTGTTCATTATGTCTGAAATATTCAGGAAGGGGATGAAGGAAGAACTGCAGCTGGACCACAGTACAGTGGACAGAATATTCCCCTGCTTAGATGAGCTGCTAGAGTTGCACAGGCAGTTCTTCTGCAGGATGAAGGAGAGACGACAGGAATCATGCGAGGCAGGGAGCGAATGTAATTTTGTCATCAGCAGAATTGGAGACATCCTTGTGCAGCAGGTAGAGGCATCAGCTCTGTTTATACTTTATATGCTCAATTTTTTGTGAAGAATTGACTGATGGTGAAAAGGAAGCTGACTGTTCATTTCTTGTATTTTTCTGGCATGGTACATTTCAAGTTGCTTCTAGAACAGCTAACCAACTATTTGCTGGTCACACTTCCATTCCTTGCAAACAGGAGAGTGTGGCTTTTCACCTTCGGTCAGTCAGTTTTCACTCCACTAAAATAAAGAAGCTGAACTGTTTTCTTGTCTAGAGGTGGTGTGGAGATCAGACAAATGCAAATATTTTTGCAAAGAGGTGAAGGAAACACCATTATAATTCTTCTAACAGTCGTTGGCGAGACTGTAGTAGATGCTGCTTGTGCTCTCTCCAGCCTACACTCCTTTTCTTGCTCCTAAAAACAACTATTCTGTGTTCATTCTGTAGTGACAGGCCCTGTTAGTGAAATTCAGACAACTTGAGAAACAAGGATCATAGAAGTTCTGTATTTACAAAATACATTTGTTAAAGGTGTACGCTTTCCTGTGAGATGCAATGTTGAGTACTTATCAATTTCTTCAGTTTTCAGAGGAAAATGCAACTAAAATGAAGAAAATATATGGAGAATTTTGCAGCCATCAAAAAGAAGCTGTTAATCTCTTCAAAGAGCTGCAACAAAACAAGAAGTTTCAGAATTTTATTAAAGTAAGTTTATGTGGAAACATGATCATTACTGACAGAGTGTTCAGGACAAAGATACATGGCATTTACTTAGATTTAGGGCTAAAAATATATTCAGTAACTCACTTCTTATAGATAAGAAAAATGGCAAAGTTTTTTTCTCCTTAGCCAGTGAGCTGATATATTACATTTTTCCTTCAAATTTTAGAAAGCTTTGTCTTCCACTGTGTATTACGCATGTATTCCTGTTACAGTATACCTCATCCCTAAGAGCAGCAACTGTTCCTTGGGGATGGCTCAGATAACACTGCATTTTGTTTTAGCTTATTCTTAATGCACTTAGATCGTATTTCTTATTAGTCAATTGGTGGTTTAATATGCACTTGCTACTTAAGGTATATATTTGTGTCTGTGCAGCTGAGAAATAGTAACCTGTTGGCACGACGCCGAGGAATCCCTGAGTGCATTTTGCTCGTCACCCAGCGTATCACCAAATACCCTGTTCTGGTTGAAAGGATATTGCAATACTCAAAAGGTGAATAAAAGCTGAAGTGCTGCTTCATGTCTGGAATCCTAGTGCGTTTCTAATTTAAAGAGTATATGCTGCTGCAGTATAACAAAAGATGAAATTCACTGTTCTGTAGAGAACGAGGACAACATGAATATCTACTGTTCAGGCAAATGTCACCTGAACAGGATGCCTGGTGTATGTAGCCTTTGCCAAAGTTGGACTGTGCAAATTTTCAGTATTCCAGCTGGGTAAGCTGCGTATTTGTTTTAGGAAAAGATTGTGACTAGGGGATGTGAACTGATTCAGACATGAGTCTGTCCATTCTTTGAAATTAATTCTGGTGGAGTCTCTTAGAAGTAGGCAAACATTTCGTAAGTTACAGTTTGTCAAGCTTGAATTACTTCTGGAATTTCATAGAGGATTTTAGAAATAGCAGTAGTTTGCAGATATTGTCCCCCAAATAAGCAATAAATGAGTGTTGTAGAAAGTTGCACTCCAAATGTAAACCCTTTGTCCTTTCAGGCCTGTTTCAGGGCATTTTTTTGCTTAGCCAGAAGAGTAATATGCTGTATGATTTATTTAGCTAGTGCATTTTTTTAACTGCTAAGAGCTCTTAAATATGTCAGAAGCTGCACAGTGTGTTGTTTTGACTAATGAATAAATCTGAGGTAATCTTTTAATAGGCAGGTCAAAACAAAGGTAGATGCTTCTAGTATTTCTAGTGAATTGCTTGCTGAGTTCAACTTAAAATGTTTATATTTTTTCATATCTACCGTATCTTATCAATTTAAGCTTTGCATCACGTTAATTGTTCCCAGAAAGTAAGGAATTATACCTTCTCTTGAATACAATGACTACTATCACATTTATTTTTTGTTTCATACAGAAGGAACAGAAGAACATACAGACCTGTGCAAAGCCCTTCGTCTAGTTAAGGACATGATCACAGCTGTAGATCTGAAAGTGAATGAATATGAGAAGAAGCAAAAGCTACTGGAAGTTCTCAGTAGAACTGACAACAAAACATATACAAAGCTGAAAAATGGCCACGTTTTTAGGAAGCAAGACTTGATGAGGAAAGAGAGAATACTTCTTCATGAAGGTTTGGTGTACTGGAAGACAGCAACCGGTCGTTTCAAAGGTATTCTGTCTGAGCAGTAATGTCCTTTAATTGCAAATAACACATAGGAGGTTCCACAAAAATGTTAGGAAAAACTTCTTAACTGTTAGAGTGACAGAGCACTGGCACAGGATGCCCAGGGAGGTTGTGGAGTCTCCTTCTCTGGAGACGTTCAAAACCCGCCTGGACGCGTTCCTGTGTGACCTACTGTAAGTGATCCTGCTCTGGCAGGGGAGGTTGGACTAGATGATCTTTTGAGGTCCCTTCCAACCCTTAACACTCTGTGACTCTGTGATATGAAGATTGGTTTAAGAATGAAAATACTTTGTTATGCTGGGTTGCAAACACGAAATTCTGAGGTAATGGCATTGAGAGTATGCCACTAATTACTAGAAGAGTAGTTCCAGAAGCTGCTGTGTTTTGTGGTTGGTCCACTGTATATCTGGGTAAGAAGACAAGTTCACATACAAATCCATCAGCTAAATTTCTTCTTCCAGTCCTCCCCTTCTAGTTCATTGGTTTGCAGTTTCATCCCGTATCACAGAGTCTTGGCTTGTAACTGTATGTTGTTTGCAGTACTGGCCGTTGAAAATAATGCATGAAAAATCACATGCTGGTACTGGGACATCCTTAGTGGAAAAGGAGATCTGAATCCACATTTGGCTAGGGACAAATTTTTGCATGCAAACCTAGAATTTGATTTTTGGTGTTAATCACGTGTAGGGGTTGGTTTTTTTTGGAGCTTACTAATATTTGCTGTACACCTTGATAAAGCTGTCTATTCATCATTATTCTAGAAATACTTTTACCAATGTAATACTATGCTGTGAGTATATGTTACAGCATAGACGAAACAAAACTTGTGTGAACTAGTCTTTGCCAGGTTGCCTCTGAGAGGCCTGGGGAAGCTGTACTGACAGTGGAGAGAGGAATTCGTTCTCTGGGCCCATGCTCCCGCATGACGCTGAAGGATGGTAGCTGGCAGAAAGCATGGTCTCCTCAGGGAGCTAGAAAGTGCAGTTACTTCATAGACACCATAGGCTAATCCAGATATTTCCTGTTTAGTTTACTGTAGGATTCTGTGGGCTATTTATAGATCAGAGATAAAAGAGGAAATTAACTATAATTAAAATTACTTAATTAAAAAACTTTATTTTCCTTTTCTCATTTGAAGACATCTTAGCTCTGCTTCTAACTGATGTACTGCTCTTCTTGCAAGAAAAAGATCAAAAATACGTCTTTGCAGCTGTTGTAAGTATATTGTCAGATACTTCATTATACCCATTGCACTTTTCTTTGCATATTTCTCAAAAATTAGGTCCTTTTCTAGGTTAGTCCCACATAATACCTCTTTTTCCTGAAATCCTAGTAGTGTACTCAGAACATGATTGCAGCTGTAGATTTGAAAGTGAATGAATGTGAGAAGAAGCAAAAGCTACTGGAAGTTCTCAGTAGAACTGACAACAAAACATTAATATGCCAGTATATGGAAAATCAAGTTTATTTTCAAAATTAAATATTTTTCTCAGGGAGAAGGATGGACATAACAAAATAGTATTTTTAGTGTCATGCTTCATCTGATTATTAAGGCAGGAAGTAGAGCAGGCTCTTTCAATTATCTGAAATTAATTTGAACCTCTGGTTCTGTAAAATAAGCCAGAAGAATAATTCTAACTGAAAATTTAGTAGTAAACACACAATAAATGCTATGAAAGGTCATGGAGAAAAGTTCCCAAACTATCTAAATATAAACATTATATGAACACTGTCTCCCAATATCATTGAGCCTCTGGGATTTAGTTTTTAGCACATATGCTATAATATATTTTATAAAATAGTCTAAGGACATATCTGAATACTCAAAACTTGCAGCCTCTTACACCTGGTAAGAGCATACATAGTCTGACTATACCAGGACTAGAATTAGTCCAATTAATTGAAAAATTGTTGTCTTCTTAATGTGTAAATTTTTTAAGAGAGTATTTATTGTTCTCTTGTGTTGTGACTGTTTCCCCCAGGACCAGAAGCCTTCCATTATCTCCCTTCAGAGGCTCATAGTAAGAGAAGTAGCCAATGAAGAAAGGGGGATGTTTCTGATTAGCGCTTCTTCTGCAGGGCCTGAGATGTATGAAGTTCACACCAACTCCAAAGAGGAACGTAACAACTGGATGAGGCACATTCAAGATGCAGTGGAAAGGTAGAGGAAAGGGCTTTGGCTTTTTGTCCTGGCAATCCAAGCAGTTGGGAGGTTGGTTGGGTATTCCTGGCAGTAGACTTTCTGTTCTGCATTGCACTGGGTCCATCTTGTGAGCCTAAATTTTCCTCTGAGCTCAGGATATACAGACCCCAAAGCCTCCCTGTTGCTTCTCCCAAATTTCCCATGTTACTTCTGTTTTCCCACTGAATCAGCAGACCCTTCCTACTCCCCATTGGATGTCCTCACTAGCCATTGTAAGCTTTTGCCACCTTTGCCCTTGGCACTGTGTGCTTTCCAGACTCTTGCAGCTGTCCCTGCAGCCATTTTGGGGAAATCCCCAGCCATGCTTGCTATCTTGGTGTCAGCTCCTTAAAAATGGCAAGGAAAGCGTTGCTCCTCATGGGGCCAAGATTATGCTTAGAATGGCAAACCTGAATGAGGGACAGCCACCCATTTGCTGCACGGTGCAGGCTTACCAGAATTAAAAGGAGTCTTTCAGTTTGGTGTATGTCCAGTTACTGCTTTTCAAAGAAGCAGACAAACAGCATGTTTCTGGATTGTAGCAAAAGTTGGTGCTGATGTTGTGTTCTGTTTATTATGAATGCTGTACTATATACGATGTGCAGGTTTTGCTTTATCTACTTTTGTTTCTCTTCCATCTTTGAAGTTGTCCAGAGGAAGAAGAAGGAAAAAGGAGTGAATCTGATGAGGACAGACGTATTGCTGAAGCCAAAGCATCCAGAATTCAGAAATGTCAAGGTATGGTATGTTTCCTGCCACTCTGAGAGCTCCTGCATCCTGAGAGTTCAATCCTGCGCCCATACTGGCTGGTGGTTTCGGAGCGGCTCCATAGGCAGAGTCACGACAGAGAAAACCGGGGTGGTCTGGTGATATAATGTGTATTTACTGAAAGAGAACAGTTTTTTTTTCTGAAGACTTTTTATTTTTTGCTACATGACTGTGAGTAAAAAAGAAAAAAAAATTAATGCTATATTTCCCAGATTAGCATCAGGGCCAGATAGTTCCATGTTTGTGAAAATATCTCATATCTTCAGTATCTTAAGTATCTTCAGTAATTGTGTGTCTTTGTGCTTGTTTACAGCACTTCATGCTTTGTTGCTGTTATTTTGATCTGGAAATGTAATGGAGAGAGATAAATTCTACTCCTTTGGTTCCCCTACAGTTATCTTTATTCTACAATATCTTTATTCTGCTGTAAGGAAAGAAATTCCAGACATGTTCTTCCTATAGAGAGTGTGTGGGCTGAAACAGGCAGGACACAGGAACAGCCAGAGGGCATGGCTGAACTGGAAAGAGTAGATTTATTCTGACTGCCTGGCAATCTGGAGAACCCTTGCAGCAGCACCCGGCTGAGGCACCCGGGCAGCAATCACACGAGCAGCTCGCCAAGCGGCAGCGCAGGCACAAGGAGATCTCTCCTGGCTAGAAAGCGTGGGGGATCTGTGCCACTGCTTTGTTATGTCTTACTGGCTGCTCTGCCTGAGTTCCCAGGGCTCCCAGGACAGCTTTGCAGGGCGGGAATTGGGGAGAGGCCCCCGCATCTATCCCAGGCCTCTGTTATCTGGGCGCGGGCAGTGCTGCTGGTCGAGCACACGAGGGCAAGCAGTGATCCATCGTGATGTGTGTGTTTTCTGACAGCTCAGGTGCAAGTCGCTTGAGCGAACCTACTGTCGTCCTCGCCAGTCTTTTGTTATATCCTTACAGAGCACCATAGGGAAGGGCGTCCTATGCTGAGACTAGATGTATTTCTTTGACATCGAGGCACCAAGTCAGTGCGTCTTCTGGCTGCTTGATCCAAGTACTTGGAGGTACTTGAGGTCTCCAGAGTGCAGTCAAGGCCACTTCATCAGGGTAGGGCAGTGGCCTGGCTCTCTGCCTAGGTCTGTGCCATGAGGTGAATTTGGTTCCTGGCCAAGTTAGCTCAAGTTAGCAGTATCTATGTGGTATAAGGTGTGAATGGGGAACATGGCTTTGATTGCAGGATAAAAAATATTAAAACAGACTTCAATTTTGTTTGACAGAGTCACTGAGTTACCAGGACCAGCAGATCTGTAGTTATTTGGAAGAGAAGTTGCATATCTATGCAGAACTGGTAGATATAAGTGGGTTTGAGGATGTTCATGTAGAACCTCACCTCCTTATCAAACCTGATTCTGGAGAAACTCCACAGGCTACTTCATTGTTGACAGCAGCACTCAGAGAAGGTGAGTTTGCATGCGGAGAGTGGACTGGTAGTTCAAGATAACAAAGTACAGCCGTGTTGCCTTGTGCTGCCATTCTGTCAAGTCTAAAGAACTGGCAGTGTCAAAATTTGGCAAAGGGCCAAGAGAAGCCTCTCAGGTTTATACTTGTCAAATGTATGAGATGGTACCTGCCAGATTACAAGACAAGGAGTATGTGTAGTGCATAACATATATAAGCAGGCAGGAACATGGTGTTTAGGTTGCATGGTCTACATCATCACTATGAAGTGTGAGGGCATTTTATTGATAACATTGATAAAACTCAGTATGGAATATAAGTCAGTGATGCAACAGTAAATGTCATTTTAGCTAAAATGGCAGCCTATGCTTACACACCTTATTCTGCCCATTTTTAATTTTTACCATCTGTCATGCTAATGTTGGTGTTGATAATGTCTTGGATTTCAGGACTCTTCAGCACACTATAAGGAGTTTACAATTTCTTATACTGTAGTTAATTTGTGGAGATCATTTTCCAGAACAGAAACTCTATGTCCCTGAGTTGATAACAGGCTCTGTAGGAATAAAGCATTTTTCACAGTAGAGAAGGATAGGATTAGGGAGAGCTTAAGCAAATTGGATATACACAAATCCATGAGATGAGACGGGATAAATCCAAGGCTGCTCAGGGACCTGGTCAATATCATTGTGAGGCTGCTTTCTGTCATCTTTGAAAGGTCACAGTGATCAGGAGAGTTTCCTTATAACTTGGAGAATGCAAGTGTCTGCACAAGCCTGTTCAAGAAGGAATATATAGAGAACTACAAAATAGTCAGCCTCACTGATGCCTTTGAGATGGTGATAGAGCAAATCCTCCTGGAAGCCATTTCCAAGAACATGAAGGACAAGAAAGTGACTGGGAACAGCCAGCATGGATTCATCAGGGGCAAATTGTGTCTGACTAACTTGACAGGTTTTATGATGGGAGGAGAGCAGTGCATGTTGTTTACCTTGACATCTGGAAGGCACACAACACTGTCTGCACTGACTGTAGTATCTTTACAGCTGAACTGGTGAGATGCAGGCTGCCCGAGTGGAAAACTGGCTGAACTTCCAAGCTGAAAGAATTGTCATCAGTGATATGATGTCCAGCTGGCAACATGTTATTAGGGGATTCCTTTAGGGGTGGGTCCTGAGACAGATACTGTTCAACACATTTATTAATGAAATTAACTTAGCAAATTCGTGTCTGTCACCAAATAAGGCAGCACAATCAGTGTGCTGGAGACACCACTACAGGTTGGGAAAATGGGCTAAGAGAAACCCCTAGAAGTTGGACAAAGACACATGCGAAGTCCTGCATCTGGGATGGAGTAATACCATGTGTTGGTACAGGCTGAACACTGTCTAGATAGAAATAGCTTTGTAGAAGTGAACCTGGGAGTCCACGAAGGTTGACCACGAAGCAGCAATGCGCCCTTGTGGCAAAGACGGCCAACTGCTTCCCAGGCTGTTGCATCAGGAGGAGAGTTGCCACTGACAGTATTATTGACAGAAGGAGATGATCCTTCCTCTGCTTATTACTTAGCCCCGCGAGTCCTGCCTGGAGTGCTGTGACCAATGCTGGGCTTCCCTGTACAAGAGAGACATTGACAGACTGGAGCAAGTTCAGCAAAGGGTACCAGGATGATTAGAGGTCTGGAGCACATGATATCTGAGGAGAAACTGAGATAGGTGGTGTGTTCAGGCTTGAAAGAAGGCAACTTGGTGCCATCTCGTTGCTGTCCTCAGCTGTCTAACAGGAGGACACAGAGAAACCAGGGGTTTTTTAGGGGCACATGCTAATAGGACGAGAGGCATCAGGTACCAGTTGGGCAGTTCCAACTAAGCCAGCAAAAAAATTATATACCATGAAAGTGATTGAAAACCAGAACAGGTTGCCCAGAAAGGCCATGAAGTCTCCATCTTTTGAGATGTTAAAAGCTACTTTGTGCAAAGCTCTAAACAACCCACTGTAGTCTGAACAACTCTGAGTAGGGTATTGGACTAGATGACCTCTGAAAGTCTCTTCCAGTGTAAAATATTCTATGATTCTATGTCACAGATTTCTTCATTAAGGAGCTAGTTAAGGGGCCTCTGTAATCCTGCATGTTTTCCTCTCTAGTTGAAAGTCTCCATGTTGCTGTAAAGACAGCACAACTGAGTGAAACAGACGGATCACCAGGGGAAAATACTGAGGAGTTAAGTGTGAAGCACAGATTTAGTGCTAATGAAATCTTGGAATCTGTTCCTGGTGGTGAGTGAAATTTGGTGCTTTTACATATTCAGTGTGCTAAAATAATTCATACTGCATTGTTTCTTTTGGAAACCTTTTTTAATCTGTGACAGAATCAATAGAAAATAATGTAATAGGAGTTGTCTTTGGTCAAATGCTCAGATGGTGTAAGTCGTTGTGTAACTTCATTGAAGTGAATGGATGGTGTGCATTCACTGCACCTTTTCTCTAGCACATGCCTGCATTCAGCAATATTGAATCAGATTTGCATATCTCCATATGCTCTCTCACCACTATTGCTCAGCTCCACAGAAAATCTATATTGCAGTATGGGCCGTTTCCCAGGGCAGCCAGTTTTTGTTAGAAGGCCTGAAAACCAGGACTCACTTTCCAGTAATTGCAGCTGTAAAAGGTAGCATGGATTTCTTGTAACAAAATGCAGATAAAAGTCCTGTAAAAAACACTGTTGCAGAACATTTTTAGTGATACAGCTTACTTATCTTCAAACTTTCATAGGTGAAACACTACTAATTTTTAAGGTGGGAAAACCAAATTGTCCCCTCTGTGCCATCCTGGCTTCCAAATTTGTTTTTCCCCATCCTAGAATCCATTATATAACTTCAGATTACATAAATCTCTATTTTCAGCATCCTGTCAGTAGCTATAAAAAATGTGTGTCCTTTTTTTCTCTATTCAGAATATGCCTTGATATCTTGTGTTTTTTGGGCCTGTATTTGCTAGATGCAGAAATAAAAGAAGTTGAAGAGCCATCTGAAGTCGATGTCAGTGTTGAAACGGAAATGGCAGATGCCAATCTAGAGGATAAGGTATTGTAACAGATTTTTCTTTCTGTGTTGCACATAGCACTCTGGACACTGGGAATATCAATGCTGTCCAAACTTTTATGGGGTATCTAAAGACTATTCTAAAACACAAAGCGTGGGATAGGCACATTTCACCCAAATCTGGATAATTCAGTTTAATAGAGGTCACTCTATTAATAATGAAGGTTTAAAAGCAATCATAAACAATCAAAATGCAGAACAGTTTTCGTGCCAGGCTTACAGGTTGGTGGGCTGTATTAACAGCCACAGTGTTTTTATACCACTTATATGGGCTGCTTAAGATCATGGTTCTCCACTGTCATCATTCAATACATCTATCTCTATGGTGCTGACAATAGTATTCCCTATACTCCCTCCTCCTGTTCACAGAATGATGAAAGTCTCCTGCAGTGACAGAGATGTCAGGTAATGCAAGGAAGACTTATGTATTGGAAGAACTTCATTCTGAGAATAATGACGTAAAATAGGATGGATTGTCTTACACCAGCTTGCTTCAGAATTTTGAATTACATCAAAATGAAGAAATTAGAGATTAGAAGTGAAACTACTCAGTTTTCAAAGTCCTATAATTCATAAGCAGATCTGGGGAAAAAGGAGAATCAAAAGTCAGTTCTGGGCAGAGTTAGGAATAGTAAATTTCGTGTTGCAGAAGAATGTTCGAGTAAAAGAAGTTTGAATTACTGTGTGGAAATAAAGTGAACTATAATTGCGGAGTCCTTAGGTGGAGAAGCAGGACCACAGATGGAGTAAAAGGGATAGACAAGAATAGAAGATATGTGACTTGAAATGGAAAGCAAAGTTTGCTAGAAAAGGAGATAATCAGCATCAGCATACTATGTTTGCATCAGATCTGAAAGAGGACTTGCGTGCCTGAAACCGTGAGGGTTTTTTTCTAGCTATTTCTGGAAGACTCTTGCTAATACACTAATCTGCCTATAACCTTGCCTCATGTTTAGCTCTAGGTCATCTTACCAGACTGCTGTGTTAGAAAGGAATAGGAAGAGAAGTGTGTGTGGAGGAAATAGAATGAAACCCAAGAGTGCAAGTAAGGGAGCACAGAGGCTATATGAGGGGAAACAAGATAAGCTAATAGAGGACAGAGGGTCTCAGATCTAAGCAGTTAAAAGTTCCAGTAGCTCCACGTGAAAACACTGCCATTGGGGTTATAGAGAAGGTAAAAGGCAGGCTTTTCTCAGAGATACGTAGGAAAAAGGCGAGCATCCAGTATGACAAGTTACAGCAAGGGAAATTCTGACTGTGTATAAGGGGAAAAAGTCATTGCAAGGGTGATCAAGCAGAAAGAGATTGTACAGATTGTGGGATCTCCATCTTTGGAAGTTCCCCAGATTCAACTGGAGAAGGCCCTGAGCAGTCTCATCTAACTTTGAAGCTAGCCCTGCTTTGAGCTGCATTTGGACCAGAGGGATGTGCAGCAAACTCTTCCACCTAAGCTGCTGTTTTGGTCAGCCCAGGTAGAACTCTTTTTTCTACTGTGTCAGAATCAGACTTACCAGGAGGTGGCAGAACGAGCAAACAAAACAGGCAAGGCGAGGGCTTTCAAGGGTGGAAGACGTTCCGCCTACCTGCCTTGGGGCTGCTGGCGGTACAGTCCTGGTGTTGCGGGGTGGCAGCCCCGGGCTCAGGCCAGCTAAGCTGAGAAAACCAAGAGTTGGACAGACAGAGTGAAAGCCTCAAGCTCGGGGGGTTAGATGCTGACCAGGCAGAAGGAAGAGCGCTGCCTGTGCAGCACGTGGGGTCCCAAACAGGCTGCTGTGAGAGGTGGTCCCCATCTCACCCACCCTGCCTTGCAGTCACATGCTCGGAGGGGTTGTCTGAGGCGCTGTGCACGCAGCCTGCCCTGGGATCTGACCGTCCTCATCTCCACTGTTGCTCATCACTGTGAACGGAGGTGCTAGGGAAGAGTGGCAAGGAGGTGGTGGTGACCCACAGCACAGGTTGAATAAGCAGCTGTATATGTTGCTTTGGACCTAGCTGGGCTCACAGTGTTGTGCTGAATCTGTAGCAGTGCAGCTGGCCATGCTGCTGTCACCCCAGCTAGCTCATCTAAACCTGCCTTGGGCTCATCCCCCAGCGGTCAAGTGGACCTGCAGTAGGGAGACCACAGGCGCCTGGGCTGGCCACTGGATAACCCTTGGCCGTGCCAAAGCCAGGTAAGCCTTTAATCCATCTGTACACCTCCTTTAGTAAATTAAAAAGGGCTTCAAAAATGGAAAGAAACTCATGATATGTGAAAGAGCATGGGGACTCTCCTTCATACGCTTGCTCTTCCTCACCCTGCCAGCATCTCCTTCTCCTCCCTCTCAGCCCTACTCTTCCTCCTTGCCTGCTGTTGATCTTGGCCACCCAGGAGGGGGATAGTGGAGCTCCTTCGTGCCAATCCTTGTGCTGCATAGAAGCACGAGCAGAAAGTTCTCTGCTTCTCACAGTGGAGGCGAGTAGTTGCTCCTGCATACAGTGAGAAACGGAGGAGGTGAAGATGTGGAGAGGGAGTAGAGGAAAGTATGGAAGGGAGATAATGAGTGAGGGGGGTGGAGGAAATGATGCAGCCGGTGCTCCCTTTCCCCCAAGCTTGTCTGTGTTAAACTGTGCTTTGGGGCCTCACCTTTTTCATCTTGTTTTCGGTTATCGCAGCTAAATGGAGCAGCTGCTTTGCTCTTTGTGGTGGAAAATGAGTCTCAGTAGAGAACTTAGAAGAAGCAGAGAGAGAACAAATACTCCCCAAACTCTTCTCTGCTTCTCTGAAAAAAAGAAAAAAAGTAGAAAAATTGCACAGGAAGTCTTTTCAGCATAGCCTGAGAAGGGATTGTGTTTTATTTATCCACTGTTTCACCTTATCGTTCTCAGAGGAGGTGTTCTTCATGCTGAAGGGATTATGGGTGGCTTCACCCCATAAATTTAGAAAGTTTCTTAGGAAAAGGGAGCAGGGTGGAAAGTGTAAAGCATCTGAGCCTTGCTGCAGTGGACAATGGTAAAACCATACTGGTGCGTTCTGCGGAGTATAGTGGACACGCAGCCTTTGCTTAGCACCTCACACTACGTTTCTTTGCCATAATGTGACATCTGCTAGATTCTTGTTACATTACTATCTCAGTTTTTGAAGAGTCTTGTGCTGTTTCATCCTCCCATAAGTAATCTAAACCCACTACACTGTATATACAGAAGTCTGGTTACTGTATTTCAAAACTGTCAGGTAAACAAGGAATGAGTAGCATTGTCACAAGAGGATTAAAATTGTGGATGAAATATTTTTATTTTTACAGTTGTGCTTAGAATCTCTAGTGATTTCTGCGGAAACTCCAGTGTTGGTGAATTATTAGACTTCATAGGTTATTGCTTCTGTCTTTTTTCACATACCCACAAAAAGGTTTGACTCAGCACTGCATGTATTAGTGATGTGAATGTCTCCACTAGTTTAGAAAGAAATACCTAGATAATACAATTCTAAAATTAAAAACTACTTTTTAAAACAAAATGTGTTTATTTTAGGGAGGAAGTATGAGTTTCCCAGGGTCTACAGGGACAGAGGTGAGTTTATTTAAACGCCAGACAGAATATAGTAAGTATTTAGTTAACAGTGGTCAAATCTTTGAAAATCCTTCTCTTTTATTTTCTAGGTTGTACAAGCAATCCAGAATTTAACCCGCCTCTTGTACAGCATACAGGTGACTACTCCACTGCTAACTTTGTAGAGTTATTAGTCTTAATAATTTTCTTCTCAAGGTTTGTTTCCATCTTACCCCACTTTCAGACATGATATCAGTGAATACTTAACCTCTACTGACTATTGCAAAAGTTGTCATATAGTCTATTTTCACTCTGCATCAGTGGTAGATTTCTTCTAAGAAGTGAAGAATGCTTGCTTGCTTGCTTGGAGATCAGTCCTCCAGTAAACGGATATGTATACAGTCCAAAAATCTAGGAGGAGAGTAAAATGATGGCTCCAACTGAACAGATGTAAATATTGAGAAGTTTTAGTATTTTGTTTAGAATACTCTCCTGGCAGCTAGTAAACAGTGCCTCTGCCACTTAAGTAGCAAACGCAACCCATTTTAGATATTTCAGTCTCAATTAGCATGTATTCTGTAGGACCTTAGTCTGAAGTTTTTTCCTCTTTTTTACTAAGTTTGACCATTTTAACTTATTTTTTATTTTTATTTAGATGCAGTTTTATAGTTCTGTTTTCATTCAAGAATGTTTTATTTCTAGACCCTCTTGATATTAGCATATTTTGTAATAGTCCTGGAAGCCTTAGGCTTAATTAAGTGGATTGAAGCAATGCAAAAGCAAAGTAAAAAGTTTGTAATTCATGCAAAACTTTTTAAAAATTGAAAAATGGATAGCTTAACACCAGAGGGGCAGTCAAATAATGACTGAGATCATGCCTTGATTGTTCAGACTATGAGTTGGCAATATAGGTGCAGAGAAACAAGCAAAGGCCCCTTTTCTTGCCCTGTTTACAGATCACTGGAACTGGCCCAGTACTAGAGGAGAAGTCAAGAGAAGTGGCAATAGTGTAGCATTAAATTAGAGTGGGAATTGCATAGAGTTAAAAACTCTTTCTGAGATGGATGGCATGAGGTAGTGGGGCTGTGGGAATTCTCTGCGAATGTCTGCTAAGGTAGATTCCCATGTTAGCTCTTAAAGATAGGCCGAGCAGTAAGTGCCACAGCAGATCAAGGGCTTTCTTGCTTTTCTTTCTTCTTAATCCCAGCTGTTTATTTTTGTGTTGTTGGAAGATCTCACAATCTTTAATGCAAACAATGTCACAACATCCTTGTGAAGGACAGAATAAAGTGTGGTCGATTGTAAAATAAATTGTTGAAATGTCAAAATAGAAATCATTACAAGATGTCATTTTTTTGCTGGCACAGATATCTCAGTCAGGTACATGTAGCAGTATTGTCCTGATGGCATGGCTGCATTGGCAGTTGCCTGTAGGACTGATGTTAGTAGGACTGTTGCCTGTTAGCAAGGAAAGCCATAGGGTTGGAGTTAGCTGTCTTGGAAACATGCAGTTTTATCTGTATAAGCCACATCTGTGTTAGGAATACTTTGCTGAGTGTAGCATTCCCAGTGCCTTAATGCCCTCTTTAACTGTGAGAAATCATTTTTCCTATGTGACTTAACATCCTCTGACAGAGGATACAGTTACAGACCTCAGCTGTAACTGAAGTGCATATGCACAGCTGTACCATAAACATATAGAATAATACTAAGTGTAAACCAGAAGCCATGTTAGAGAACTCAAAATGGACAGGAGCTTTTAGAAACATCTCTTAGTAAAGACAAAAACACAGAATTTTCTCTACTTGCATAAGGAATAACCTCCCGAAAAGCATTAAACACTGATATTATGGGAGGTTGAAGTATTTTTGTATAATGCTTCTATGTAAAAATAGAGAAATTAATTAATGCTAATATTTAAATATTTGTGTCTGATTTTTGTTGTGGTATCTAGGCAGCACTAGCTATCCAGGACAGCCACAGAGAACTCCATAGGTTACTCCTGCTAGAGAATGAGAAGACTGGTCGGGTCCGTGGTTCTCGGCTAAACCTCCTTCTGGAACAAGAAAAATACCGGAATCTGGAAAAACAAAGGGTGGAGCTGGCCAACATACACAAACTGAAGCAGCAGTTTCAGCAAGAGCAGCAGCGGTGGCTGCGTGAATGTGACCAGCGGCAGCAGGAGCAGGAGGCGAGGGAGAGCCGGCTGGGGCAGCGGGCAAGGGAGTGTGGGTGCCAAGAGGAGCTGCTGGAGCGGAGCCAGCAAGGCTTGGCACTGCAGCTGCAGGAGTACCAGCAGAGCCTGGAGAGGCTCCAGGAGGGGCAGAAAATGGTGGAGAAAGAAAGAGACAGTGTGAACATGCAGAAGAGGGTCTTCTGGCACTGGAAGCACAGTCAAAAGAGTAGCCTCTTGTCATCCACAGACAACAATGAGGTGCGTATTTCCCTGCTGTAATTATATCCCCACCTGCAGACTTAGAGAGACTTTCCTTGATGAGTAGACCTGTATGTCTGAGGTTTGTTGGTTGGTAAGCGTGTGAGAAGCTGAGGTTCAGGCATGTCCAAGAGTTTTGTTTGAACCTCATGAAGTTTGACCTGGGGAGGAACAACCGCATACACTGCTGTGGGCCACCCAGCTGGAAAGCAGCTTTGCAGAAAAGGACCTGTGGGTCATGGTGGACAGCAAGTTGCACTTAAGCCAACAGCCTGCCCTTTCACGAAGAAGGCTAATGGTCTCCTGGGCTGCATTAGGAAAAGTATTGCTAGTAGGTCAAGGGAGGTGATCCTTTCCCTCTACTCCAGCCATACCTGGAGTTCTGTGTTTGGTTCTGGCTCCCCAGTACAAGGAAAACATAGAGCTGTGGGATGGTTGCAGATAGAGCAGGGGAGAGGCTGTCATAGATAGAATCGTAGAATCATAGAATCATAGAATGGCCTAAGCTGGAAGGGACCTTAGAGATCATTTTAATCCAGCCTCCCTGCCGCCAGGGATGCCACCTGTTGACTAGATCAGACAACACATGGGGACTGTCAAGTGGAGATGTCTGAGGGGCATCTCTCCTGTGAGGAAAGGTTGAGACTGTTCAGCCTGAGAAGAAAAGGCTCATGGGTATTTTTTTTAGTATATATAAATACCTAAATGGAGGGTGTAAAGAGAAGGGAACCAGGCTGTTTTTAGTGGTGCCTAGTGACAGGACAAGAGGCAACAGTCGCAAACAGAAACACAGGAGGTTCCCTCTGAACCTCAGGAAATGATTTTTTCCTGTGAAAGTGACAGAGCACTGGCACAGGTTACCCAGCAAGGTTGTGGAGTCTCCATCATTTGAGATGTTAAAATCCATCTGTACATTGTCCTGGGCAACCAGCTCTAGGTGGCCCTGCTTGAGCAGAGAGGTTGAATCAGATGACCTCTAGAGGTCTCTTCCAGTCTCAGCCATTCTCTGATTTTTAAACTGGATGCCCTATGGAAGCCACACTCAGAACAATGGATTTTAAATTTAAGAGATGGAAATTGTGTGAGAATCTGTGTTTTATTATGCTTTGCCTCTGTGTTTGCCAGACCCATTCTGTCTTTTGCCTCTTTTAGGAAAGATAAATTATTGTAATGCTTGAGCCATAGAAAACGTGTAGCACTTGGTTTAGTGGTTGTGGTAGTGTTGGGTTGACAGTTGGACTTGATCTTGGAGATATTTTCCGACCTTAATCATAGAATAGCCTAAGCTGGAAGGGACCTTAGAGATCATTTTAATCCAGCCTCCCTGCCGCCAGGGACGCCACCTGTCGACTAGATCAGGCAACACATGGGGACTGAACGGGAATCGAAACCGCGACCTTAGCGTTGTTAGCGCTACGCTCAACTGACTGAGCTAACCGGCCCCCTTAATGATTCTGTCATTCTGTGTAAAGTTTTTAGTGAAGTCTTTGGCTGCTGTCCTTATTCCTGGACAACAGCACTGTCTCCAGTGAGGAAAAGTGGCTGCTTTAGGAGCTGGATGTGCCAGGTGAATCCCACATGTCAGGTCCTGCTGTCCTGCTCCCCTGAGAAACAAGCAGTCCCTTAAGGGAAAGCGTTGGTGTGTGGCTCCATCACTGTAATTAATTGTTGAGTGATGTGACTTAAAGTAATTCTGAAGCTGCTTAAGCGTTTAATACTAAAAATTAGTAAGTTTCTGTTGAGAGTGAAGAATAGACCGATTCTGAACTCATCTGTCTGCATGCTCACCTTCCAGGTGCGACTTGGCTTCTAGTCCCTGCCTGCATGAGCATGGTCTTGATTTCCATTACTGTTCCCTAAAGCACCTGCAAATCAAAACATTTTGTGTGGCTTTTGCATGTATTGAAAGCTCACTGACTTAAACAGCTTTTTTCCCCCCTCCAGGTTTTCATTTTCACAAGAAAATCTGTAGGGCCTTTTTTCAGGCCATCAGCTCCCTAGTTCTTCAGCTGGCAACTGACCCATAATGGGCAGTGACCATTCTGCATCTAAGCCTGTACCTGCATGAGGAGGCGAAGGATTGCCCTCTGACCTCCCCCTTTTCATCCAGCTTGTGTGAACACCATGTGAACATGACATCCATATATGCCTTCTCAGCCCAAACAGTGAAGGCAATTCTTACTAGTATAGCTTAACGGTACAATTTTGATTTGTTTGACAATGCTTAAGAAGTGGATGATAAAACCAAAACTGAACTTGCCTGTCAGCTTCAATGGAAACGTCTTCTGAAATCTTTAGAGGAAGTTGAAGGATGATAGCCTGATGCGGGGATGGCCAGGATCACACAGACAGATAGGCAAACTAATGAAATGCTGAGTGTCAAAGAGTAGCAGTTCTTAACCTAGTATTTCATGTGCAAGACTACTTGTAGTTTTATTTCAAGTACAATACCTGGCTTTGGATGCATTCCAGCCCTTGGGATCATCTTTGTCTTGTGTTTTCCACTACCATACTCCTTGCAGCAGGAGAGCTGGCTGAGTAGCAGCTTGCCAGTTGGATGGTATTCCCAGCGCAATGTTTTTGCCATTACACTGAGCTTGGCTACTTCTGGATGGCCAAGCATTGCAGAAACTCAACGCTGTTACCTCTGCTGTTTCGTTGGCTTGGCCTTGATAAACACCTGCAGGAAGAGACTCTTTGCAGGAGTTGCAGTTTCAGCCCCTGGGAGCAATTGCCCCTTGCTGATTGCTGTTTGCCATTGCCAGTTTGACTGCTGAAGTCCTGTTCCCTGTGATTACCCATCTGTGTGAGGTCCAGCCTTACTTCTGGATTACAGTGCACACAGATTCACATATGTGAAGCGATATCTTATTGAGCCACAAGACAAAATATTAACCTGCTAAAAAGAGTCAGCAGAGCTCAGTGCATCACAAGGAGCAGCCCTTTATTGTTCGCCATTTTGAAATTGTTACTGAATTATCCTGGGCTTTGAGGGGAGCTAAAGCAAAGTGTACTAGGTTATCAATGCCTGTTCCTAAACACACATCCAATTTAGCATGTTTAGTGGTTAACTTCTGGGAATCTAAGTGACTACTTGCTATGAATCCCCATTCTGTCTGGCACTTAATTTTGTGTATGCTGATATAAGGGTTCTTCAGGACAGCTTTTTTAGTCATATGGTTTAGTTTTAGGTAGTCCTGCAAGGAGCAGGGTGTGGGACGCAGTGGTCCTTACGGGTCCTTTCCAACTCAAAATAAGCTGTGGTTCTATGGTTCTGATGCTGGACAAAGGAGACATTGCTGTTATGTGTTTTTCTCGTCTTCTGCAGATAATAGGACATAATCAGTCGGACAGCTTACATGGTGAAAATACGTTCTACTTAAATGAAGCTGTAGTGTGTGTGTCTCTAAACAGTCTCAACAGATCAGATTCTTCTCTCGTTTATGAGGACGGTGTGCCTGGGCTGAACATCTCCAATTCGGATATAGCAAGGACTAATGAAAGTCAGATGGATCTCAAAATGGACACTTCTTGTCAGCCAGCGTTAACCAGTGCACTGTGGAAATCCACTGGTCCTTACCAGCAGATGTCTTTTTCCTGCAAAAGCAACAAGGATGCCTTTAATAATGGTAATTAACACTTTATTTAATTAACAAGAGATATGAGCACTTTGCTGCCTCTCAGAATGAACAGTCCTATGACTGAAGACAGCTTGGTGGTGATGGAAGCAATAGATTTTGCTTAAACAATTGCATGCCACTTTGTAACCTTGATGAGTGTATGTGAGAAAATGAACAGAACAGACATACAGAAAACTTTTGGAAAAAAAGCCACAAAACCTCTGTTCATGTCTGTGGTACTGAGTGGTGTTCTCTCCAGATTCTTTCCCAGTGCTTTTTGGCTTGTGTTTTTTTATGTGAGCTGAAGTTACTCTTGCTATTTCAAGTGCAATTTATTGGGTGTTGTAGGGCATCTATGCATTACTTGATGATTTCTAGTTAGACTAGCTTTTGATTAACCATCTTAAATTATAATCAGTAGTCAAACACCCTTTTCCTCTTCTTCATTGAGAGTTAAATGAAAATATCTTGAAAGACTGTAGTTGTGGAAAGAGAATTACGTCACTTCTAAGGGATAATAGAATCTCTGACGATAAGTTTCCATGTTAGTAAATACAGCTTTTGCTGCATTAACTTTCTTTATTCTTGTATTTTACCAGAATCCACAAAGATAGGTTGCATGGCAGTTATTGGCAGTGAGGACCAAAATGCATGGAAGAGGCCACATATCTGAGCACTGCATTGCACAGAATCATAGAATGGTTTGAACTGGAAGGAACCTTAAAGACCATGTAGTTCCAATTCCCCTGCCATGGGCAGGGGCACTTCCCATGTAGACCAGGTTGCTCAAAGCCCCACCTAGCCTGGCCTTGAACACTTCCAGGAATGGGGGGTCCACAGCTTCTCTGGGCAACCTGTTCCAGTGTCTCACCAGCCCCATAGTGAAGAATTTTTTCCTAAAGGACTTAAAAACATGCTAATGAGAAACTCTAAACTATTGGTGGTTTACTTCTAATGTTTCACAATGCTAGTTTCTATCTGAATCTTTCATTATTATGAGACTTGTAGAACAGCATGTGAAAATAAAACAGCTAAAAGTCTTAGGGGACAGTGGTGCGCTTTTGGTGTAATAGACCAAGTAATCTGCTCCTGCATAGTTTGAAATTCAAGTGAGACATGGCAAGTCAACACTGCAGCAATGCCCGAGCTCCCATTTTTTGACACTTGGCAGGATGGCTTCTGTTCTCACACCAGCTGCATGCAGGTCATGTCACAGCAAGACCAGTGGGCAGCAGGATCAGAAGTTGAAAACATATGCAGTTAAAATATTTTTTAATTGTCTCGGGTCAAATATTGAAGTTGTTCAAATAAAAAGTCTTTGATTAAAGAACTTGTTCCTTAGTATTCCTTGTAATGTATTAAGCAGATATCCACTGCAGACTTTCTAGTCCTTGGACTGCCAAAATAGCATTATATAATCAAAGGCAGGTCAGGCTAGTCTCATTGCCACAATCAGCAAACCAAGCTGATTAGTAAAAGAGATTAATATTTCCAAAAATGCCTAAATAATTAGTCTGGTTAAACTTGTTCTAGTTTGACTGGAGTTGCCATTTTAGTAGTAAGTTAGCAAATTTGAAAAGGAACACATCTGTGGTTTCAAACCTCTCAAAAGTGGATTAGGTTGCACTGGCAAATCTTCAGATGCAAGCTAACCAGGATACTTTCTATTGAGCCCACATGAGAGCATCTAGTTTAATTAAACTGGCTTGTACCAGTTTAATTGCACTGATTCTAAGATAAGCTGGTGGAGCTTCTGTATGTAAAGATGCCCTTCATCTACAGTGGGTCAGCTTTGTGTTCAGCTGCTGCCACGGCATCTTGTGTAGACATCCTTATCTGGCCCTGGTAAGAGAGCACCAGTGCAGTCGCAGCAGTTTGGGGGCCAGCACTGGCTACAGAGCCTGCTCGAGGTAGAGTGACAGGCTAGTACAGCTCTCTGGCTAAGCTGCGTCCCTAAAACCTGCACTTACTGCCTGATTGAGTCACAGGGTGCCTTTGGCAATGTGGTGCGGCAAATCCTTGCAGCGTCCTGATGGTGCAGATGGTGCTTGTGAAGCTCCCCTAGAGCAGGCCAGGCTGGGAGCCTGGCCCCAGAGAGATGTGCCACCACGTTCCACAGTCACATTTGTGATTTGGAGGGTGACAGCTACCTTATGCTCTGATCATGCAGTGCATGAATCTGCACAGTTCAGATTTGCTTCTGTCGTGCATCAGGAGCCACCATACAGGGGGCGGGGAATGAGAAGAACTCTAAACTTCTGCCTCAGACAGATGGTATCCAAAGCCCCAGCAAATGGCTCTGCACGTGGAAATTCAGTACATCACTTGTTCCTAAACACGGTGAATCAAGCTGAACAGTATGAACATTTCATACAAGGAAGCTGATTTCCCTTTTGTTGTGTGGCAGGGTTTTTTGCCTTTTTTTTTTTTTTTTGACCATGCTTTTTTCCCAGAGAGGTTAGCAGAGTTTAAGAAGATCTCTGACTTCGTGCCTTCATTTCCTGACACCTCTGCAGGATATAGTCAGTTCTGATCATTGGGAAGGAAAGCTGACAGAATTGCAATGAGGGAAAGACTAGAAAGAATTTGAAAGCTATCTGAGACTTCTAGTATTTTCATGTGGGTAAATGTTTCATGACATTTTCCTGCATTTTTCAACTAGTTGTCTAAAGTCTCATAATCATCTTTCAAAAAACATTCCTAAATAGTAAGTCAAAATATAGCTTACTTCAGGATGTAGTTTATTAGTCGTGGTGGTATTGGTTGAACTCGATGATCTTAGAGGTCTTTTTCAACCTTAATGGTTCTATGATTCTGTAAAATACTGAGTATGGTTTACTGAAAATAGCATGTACCAGGTACATATGTGGCCAGATCTTGCCTATAGTAAGTTTCGTGTGTACACAAAAGGGATTTCTTCGTTTTGATTAATTTTCCTAGTCCATCCTTTAAGAAGCCTGGTCCATCAAAAAACCTGAGACTATTTAATGAGAATCACCACCTGAACACATTGTCAGGGAGTTAATCGTGCTGCATTCTACCACATGTTAAGTACTACGCAATTTAGCTTCATAAATATGCTCAAATGGAAACAGCTACATTCCTCCAGTGCATAATTTTCCATTCATATTTTCATAGGTAAGACATACGTCTCTTCACATAGCTAGCATCATGATTATACATCATTGTTTTATGTGTATGGGAGGGAACTTTACTAAAGACCTTGAGGCAAGTTCCCACAAACCTGAAACTGGCACAAGTATAGTTACTAGAAAAGGTGTGTCAGTCAACAGGAGGAAAATGTGATTGAAAGAAAAATGTGTTAATGCTTTACTCTAATGGTTATGAAATTATCTGCATGAAAGAAGACAAGTATTTTTGCTAATTAGGAATCAGGGGAAGTATAGGTTTTGTGTCAGATGAGACTAAGAATTGAATAAATTACTCTTGCGTTTAATTGACATGTCAGGTTAACTAGCTGAAGTGATGCCTAAGGATTTACCTATGGATTCATCTCTTTGATTTCAGGAACTAGTGCAGTTTTAATTCCTTTAAGCTTTGAAGTGAACAGCATTGTTCGCTGGTACTGACTTTCATTTTGTTTTATTCAGATGTTGTAGCCATAGGAATAGGGTTAAAAAGTGATAGATCTGGAAAACTGCACTGAAACTTGATTGTGGGAGATTTTTCCCCCCAGACATATGCAATGTTAGAATAAACAATTTTTAGGATTTTTTTTGCATGATGTAGTGAAAAATACAGTTTGAATCTTTATGGGGAACATAGAAAAGCCTATGATCTCAATAAACAGGCAAATGCAAAACCAGGGAGCAAAAATAGGGCTCTATTTGACTGATGTGATTTTAATCTATTTTAAATGACAGAAATTTGTACATATATGCATATAAGCAAATGAGATGGTTTGGTTTTGGCAAAATAATCCATTTATAGTGGTTTTCCCAAGAAAGAACAGTTTCTAGAGATGTAAAATACTTCATTTGCAATTCCCGTTCGGTCCCCATGTGTTGCCTGATCTAGTTGAGAGGTGGTGTCACTGGCAACAGGGAGGCTGGATTAAAATGATCCCTAAGGTCCCTTCCAGCCTAGGCCATTCTATGATTCTATGAAAAAAAATCCCCAAACCCCAGAAACAATGCAGAGCATCCCGTAACTCCATTTTTTTCCCTTTTTCTGCATAAAAAGTTCTCGTCCTTAAGGCAGCTTGTGCTGGTGGTGATTGCTATGTTGAACCTGTTCTTAAAACTGTAGATCGGATTAATTTGTTTTAGTTTCCCATTGAAAACTGAGATGAGGTTTAGAACAGCATGTTATTTTTTGGCTATCTTAACATCAGTTACAGCCTGATGACATTGTGTAGAAGTACCCGTATATGTTTGTATCAGGGAGGTTGAGGATGGTCCTAGTTCTTTTCTTGTGTTTGTGTAAGATGAATTTATTGCAGTCAGAAGAGGTATACAGTGTAAAACTGATGAAAGTGTGATAAAAACCGTGTGAAATACGCTTTGCACGACAGCGTTAAAAAGTCATCTGAAGACATACAAGCTGTTTCCCCATGGTTCCAAGTCAGCACAGGGTTTTGGCAAGAGGTGTGACTCAGTAACTCGGGGCCTTATTCAAATAAGCAAAGCTGCTGCTACCAGCACGAGAGGTGGTTAATGGGATCCCGTGTGGAGGACTTTGCTGAATAAGATCGCTTTCATCGCTTGGAACCTGTTAAATAATGCCTAGCTCCCTCAGAAAAAAGTCATCACAGGTCTGTATTTGTGACCGTTGTGTTAGTTTGTGTAACGCTGCTGCTGCATGAATTCCTGTTGCGTTCATCTGGCGCGCATGTCTTCTCAGCCAGAACTTACCTGTGGCCCGTACCACACACTTTATACATAGTCTGCTGCTTAAACAGCATCGTCCATAGCCAACGGCAGGCCAACCCCTTACCACCTGTGGAACGGCATGCAAAGATGCTTTTCTGACTATTTTCAGTTTTTCTGGTGTGTTT